CAAAGAATTAAGATAATACATAGCACCATCTTATTGAGGAATAAGCTATTCCTCAATCTATCCTTAAGCTATTTCCAAAGAAATTTGCCTTACAATGCAAAATTACAAAGCACTCTCACAGAACTGTGCACAGGGTGAGTGGCTGGCCAGTATACAGTGAGGCCAGACTTGTTCTTTATAGGAAAGAATGAAAACCACCTAGAGGAACAAGTGGTGGATTCAAAAGGGAACCAAACAGACCTTCTAGAAGCAACGCCTGTGAGTTGAGAAACTGGATAGACAGGTTAAAGAGCAGTTTAGACAGTGTAGAAACAACCTCAGAGAGCCGTAAGAGGAACACCAGTACATACACTGAGTATCCCAAAAGAGAAACAGAGGGGAGGAATAAAGGCAGGATTTCTTGAGACGCTGATAGAGAATCTTACTACATTGACTAATGCTTGAGTTTTCAGTATTAAGGAAAGGACGTACGATCTGAGAGGCTAACATAAAAGTAGTTGAGTGGTTGTAAGAACAGATACTTAGGATGGCAAAGACAGGAGAACAGCAAACAATGGGAACTGACAAAATTGCCAACAGTTTCTAGTAGAGGCAAAAGACAACATCACTGCTGAACTAGCATTCTATACCCAGCTAAACTACACAGCAAGGTCAAAGTAACAGATATGTTTACAGTAAGAATAAGTGTACAACCTTAGTGTATCACCCAAAGCACAAATATGATTCTGGCTGAGTTGAGCTGAATGAAAGAGGAAGAAAGGAGACAGGGAATGGTGCTGAGAAAAGAGTTTATAACTTGGCCAATGTCAAGGAACCCTGACAATAAAAAGCAACACTAGTGATCACAACTGACTGAAACCAGAGTGTGAGTAAGAACTGAGAGGCAGGGACTTCTCTTGTGAGTAAGGTCTAGGAGAGACAGGGGTTTTATATTCCAGCATTTAAAGGTTCTTGTGTTTTGTCAGATGAAGCATGATGCTGATTAAAAGTAGTTTAATTACAAAACTATAACTGCCGAACTAGTTAAGAGCTGAAGTAGAGAGTCATTAAAGATTCATTTTGAAATAAAGCAAAGAGAATTAATAAGCAAAATGAAAACATTAAACCTCATTTAAAATTCATGTATTAAAGCATTCATAAGCTCATGTATAAAATTATACAAATTTATAAGGTTCATAAAGAGTAAAATATCATAAAAGTGGTAAGCTATTAGGCAGATGAAGGTAGAGCTGTTTTAACCAGTATCTTGAGGCAACTTTGATGAATTAGAAACCGTTCTAGACAAATGGATTCCAAAGTGATCTAAGGAATGAATGATACGATGAACTTGAGGGTTGATGACCCCTGGTACTAGGTTTCTCACTGTTAAATTGAAGTCAAGAGAATTGCTGATAGCTATCTGACAGAGAACCAGTGAGCAAATATCTCATGGAAAAAAAGTGATAAGCATAGTAAAATCACCAACACCAAACAGGCAAGCTTGATTTAATGGGCACATACAAACTTCTGTGATGACAGCGAAAACATTATCACCTGACACACATGGACTGTCTACAGGAACCCAGTCCAGGTTGGACTGCAGAATGAATCTCATTGGTCTCAAAGAATCATCATCATGTAAAAGATATTGTTTTCAAGAAAGACTATTTGTTGTCGTTGGAATTTTTTCCACTCCCCCCCCCCCCAAGTTTGATGTGTGTAGGTGTTTTTCTGGCATGTCTTTCTGTGAGCCTTTTGTGTGCCTGATGCCTATGGAGGCCAGAAGAGGGCACTGGATTCCCTGAAACTGGAGTTACAGGTGGTTGTGAGCCTTCATGCTAGTACCAGAAATTGAACCTGGAACCTCTAGAAGAGCCGCCTGTACTCTGAAAATTCTTAAGCAAGTTTTAAAAATATCTTTAATTCCCTCTCTCTCTCTCTCTCTCTCTCTCTCTCCCCCCCCCCCCCCCCCGTGTGTGTGTGTGTGTGTGTGTGCACGTGCGTCTGTGTGCATGTGCACTCCATGGATCCTAGGAATCAAACTCAGGTCATCAGGGTTGGTGGCAAGCCCTTTATCCCCTGAGCCATCTTTCTAGTCCCTAAACCTTGTTTTTCTTTTAGAAAACAAATACAATAACCAAAACAACAAAAACTAGTTCAACTAATGCATGCCTTTAGGGCTGGTAAGATGGGTCATTGGGTAATGATGTCCGTGGCCAAGCCATAAGTCATTAATTTGATCCCTGAGACCCATATGAGGGAAAGAAGAAAGGACTGACTCCTTCATTTTCTTCTGATGTTCGTCCACATACACATGGTGGTGTGTGCACCCATGCACACATACACTCAAACAAATTAACAACCGTAAAGAGGCACACCTTTAATAACTCATGGGTAAAAGAAGGAAAATCCTGAAATGAATTACAAGCCACTTGGGTCTGACCACATATAGGAAGATTAAAGTGATTTATTGTGTGGCTAAGGAGCTTGAAGGGAAATTTCATGTTTTATACTTCAGTTATTAATAGGGAAGGGATTAACTATAGAAGTGGGAGGGGGCATGATGAAGATGGATAGGCAATCTCAGAAAAGGTGTCCAGAAAACATTCTGGAAGATGCTGCTGCTCACAGGGACCTCTGAAACCACTGATGGCATACAGCAATGTGGCACTTTGTCACATGCATTCCATTGGTACAGCTTTAATGTCCCCCAAGACTAAATGTTGTCAGAGTCATGGAGGGCACACTGAGGTATTCTTAGGAGGCACATCTGCAGAGACTTGGACTAACAACAGCTCCCAGGACTTCATACCTCCACACCCAGCAGGTACACTCGAGGTACTCTTAAACCCACGCAGGGCCAGATGTGAACCCAGATGGTCAGTAAACCTGTCGAAGCCCAAATGTGAAAACAGCTCGCTGCTCCTCCGCTGGGAAATGAGTAACTAGGCTGTGATGTATTTATATAGTGGACTATTACACAGTAATTAAAGAACAGTACCGACATAAACCGGTTTGAGTGAAAGCAGGCAACTAGAGAAGGTGACTTGTCAAGAGAAAGTTCCTGAAAGCATAAAATAATACAAACTGCAATGACGGATGGTTGTTCATTGGAGGGAGAAATAGGGGACCGGAGGCTTTTGGTTGTACCCCAGACATCTTAAATGTTCTAGGTCAAGTACAGCAAAAGGCAGCCGTCAAAATTTTATGTTGTTTGTGGGGATGTGTCTAGCCTTGATTTCAGCACTGCAGTATTTCAGCTTTTATTGGGCTTTAATCCACCAGAATAATGGACAAAGCAAATAGTAGAAAAGTCAGGAGAGGGACGTGAATTCACAACAGAAGACTCTATTGTCAGTGAAGCTGGTAGCTACGAAAAGACCCAAGACAGGGAAACGCAAAAAGTCTCAAGGAAAAGGTGAATCCTGGACGATAATGGCACCTTCAGAGGTTGTTCTGCCCTGATCTCCGTATCCTGTGACTGCAGCTCCTTGCATGGCATAGGGCTTTTGTAGGCGCAATGGAGGATGGGGAGATCACCCTGGATTTACAGATGGCCACTGTGTAACTCAGAGCCATTATAACAGAGGGACAGAAGGACCAGAGTCTAGACTAGGAGATAGGGTGAAGTCAAAGGAGCCTTGAGCCAAAGAGTAGGGTGGTCCCTGGTGAAGAGCTAAAGCAAACAGATTTGTAGTCAGAACCTTGGTACAGAACCAGCCTCACCAACACCCTGACCTCTGTCTCTGCGCTACTCTGTGTGAGCAGTAGCAAACTTGTGTTGCCTTATACTGTGATGCTCTAGCCATCTGTTAAGAATGATACTAGGAAACACGAGCACTTCATGGAAGACTGCTGTTCTGTAGTTTCCCCACAGGCCTTTAACTGTGTGGACAAGACACAATAGAAACAAAAGGGAGGTGCATCTCTAAGGAAGGTCATGGAGGGGCGAGGTGTAAAGTAGGAACCTGGGCTGCTCTGCTACTAGTGCCATATGGAACTCAGCCCTGACAAGCACCCACCCACTGCACACCTTTCTGCACCAGAGCCCTGTTTCTGAGGAACTGAATAAGGTGATTCAGAATCTCAAAGTAGCGTCATGCACATGACTCCTCGTGACTTAACAGATGTGCTGGGATGTAGCAGTGGGCAGTAGGAAGGTGGAAGGATGGACGTGGCAGAGGGCCTTTTGCAGAGAGAAGGCAGCAGCCAGTGAACACCTTCCAAGGATTGACACTGTGGCCTAGTTAGTATTGTGGGGTTTGTTAGAGATCTTCATGCTTAGTAGAGTCTAACAGCCATGCATTGCAGCGTGTGATTGTAATGCCAACACCCTGGAGTTTGAGATAGGAGTAGGTGGAGTTCAAGTTCAGGTCTAACCTGGGCTACATGAGAACCTGTCTTAAAAAAAATGAAACAAACAAACAAAAACAAAAAAAACAACAACAAAAACTCAAACGGGCTTCCGACAGTGGGGAAGGCCTTCAGTGTGCTGTCTAGAGCAAAGGTGTGTATCAGAGAGCCTTCATCCAGGCATGAGTCCCAGGGCTGTGGCCAGGACACCAGCATGACTGTCCCAGCCACATGCATTCAATCAGGTCTTCTAAAACAGAGTCACCTGCCAGGGGACTCAAACCTGTATCCTACCACCTAGGAGGCTGAGGCAGGAGGATTGCTATGAGTTAGAGGCCAGCCTGAGCTATGAGCTATGTAATGAGTTCCAGCCCAGCCCAGACTACACAGTGAGACCTGTCGGAAAAACAGACTTAAACAAAACACAGAAACCAAAACCATGTCTAAGACTGCCCAGTACTAACAGTCATGTGACCAGGGACTTTCAAACTTGGCTGTGCTCCTCCAGAAGCCATGGCTTGAATTATGGACTCATCGTTTGCTGTAGTGTTCTAGAATGTTACTACATGTAAATAAAAGGGACACCTTCGCTCAGGATGGTCATGCAGGAGCCCAGGCCCTTCCTCTTGACCTCACCATCTTTGCTCTCTGTGACCCATCCCCCGCAGGCTACTTCCTGAATTTTCTGGAACCAGTCAACAATATCACCATTGTCCAGGGCCAGACGGCAATCCTACACTGCAAGGTGGCGGGAAATCCACCTCCCAACGTGCGGTGGCTGAAGAATGACGCCCCGGTTGTGCAAGAGCCACGGAGGGTCATCATCAGGAAGACAGAATATGGCTCTCGGCTGCGGATCCAAGACCTGGACACGACAGACACGGGCTACTACCAGTGTGTGGCTACCAACGGGCTGAAGACCATTACTGCCACTGGGGTTCTGTATGTGCGGCTCGGTGAGTGTGGACAGCAGAGGCCCCGTGCTAGCAGATAGCATTCATAGCGCAGAGGGATGGGCATGCTTAGTATTTGTAGCTGAGCATACACGGGTCAGCAAAAAAAAAAAAAAAAAAAAAAAATCCAGAAACTGCCCTAGGACCTCTTCCGAGGAGCCTGAGAAAGCTCTTTAGCCTATTTTCTGCTAACAGAGGAAAGGGCAGACGGAGCAGCCTGTAAACCCAGGCCACCAAGAAGCAGCCCAGACATACAAGGTGAGACAGGAAGTGCCCAGCAAGACTACACTGCAGGATGCCAGGCCTTTGGGAGGATGGCCATGCCACAGAAAGCAGGGGCGAGAGCCTAGGCCACATCTGTGGCTCCTCACCACTGGTCAGGACGCACTAGCTATATGACTTTTCTGTGCTTCCTCCCCAAGTGCACACCCATCCTTCATGTGCCAAGCCGGTCCCACTGGGCAGGAACAGTACTGAGTTTCTGCGCTTGTCACATGGGACAGCAGGATTAGATGGCAGAAGTAAATTATCCTCCTTTGACTCAGTAAGGGAAGGTCCCAGGTAGCATGCACCTCAGGCCTGTCATCTGGGCTCACGTTAGAGCCAGCTCTTAATGAGCAAAACAGGTTTTGTGGATACAGTTTAGATGAGGAGCGAGCAGGGACAGGAAAAGCGCCCACACATGCTGCTACAGGAAAAGTTCTCATTCTGGGATGTCTGGTGTCACTCGTATGGTCTCATGAGTGGGAGGAGAGTCCGAAGCCTGGGGACAGCTGGCCACGGAGGAGTTGCTGGACTCACCCGTGTTTACCACTGACTGTGTTAATAACTTGTCTTTTTGTTTCATGTCTTTAGGTCCAACGCACAGCCCAAACCACAATTTTCAGTAAGTATGCATCTCTGTCATTTGGCATCCTGAGGGTTTCTCTTGTGTCAGAGTGCAGGTTTTGAGCCCTAAAACAGCCATGTCTATACCGAGTTTGCTGGAAGCCGGCTGGGAGCCCAGCTGAACCGGCATTTAATTGGAGTTGGGAAACTTACAGTATCATAAAAACAGATGTTAATTGCTTTCAGCCACTGTAATTGCACGGGGCAACGAAATGGAATATCTAAGCATGCTCAACCAGATTCTCACAGGAGGATTTGTGGACAGGGAAGTCATTCTCGTTCTGCAAGCCAGCACCACCAATCTGCAGTTCATATTTTTCTTTTGGTGTTAAAGATTGAACCCAGGATCCTGCACAGCCTCTGCCAGTGGGTGTCCCCCGGTACCTGTGCCTGTACTTTATGGATGTGGCCCCCCCCCAGAGCCTCAGGATACCCTCTGTAGCAGGTTCTCAAGATCACATTAAAGAAGAAGAGTGTTGGTGGATTCTAGCCTTGGATTTGGGGTTTTGTTTCCCAGCCATACATCATTCCTCTGCAGGCTAGCCATGAAGGGCAGTCTCGGTGCTGCAGCTTGCTAGCTCTCTCGCTGACAGGAGAGTTTACTCCATTGTCTGACTTTGTGAGTGGGGGAATCATCCTGTCCTACAACGCCCTTTCGGATTTCTCAACAAGACAGAACTTGTTTACCAGTCCCATCTCCACCTAGCCTCAGGACCCACCAGATGATGAATGAACGTGAGGGTTCCAGTGGGAGTGAGGACAGGGCAGTGGGCAGCTGAGTGGACAGCAGCAGCTGACTCTCCGGGCAGATGGGTAGAATGTTCTGCTGAGAAGCAGCATCCAACTCATAACCCTTAGTGTCCAGGATGATTGAGGCAGAGAAACCATCTCAGGGCTGTGGGTGGGGGTGTGAATGGGAGTGCGGGGCTGGGGGGCTGGGTGATGTGGGGTGGGGGTGGATGGCTTTAGAGAGACACAAGTCAATTAAAAACATGAAGTATTTCTTTGTTCTTTTCTCATACTTTCACACTTTCATATCATACCAAGTGCTATTATACGCTGTTATATACTGTTATATTACACATTCTTGTTGGAGATGTGGCAGAGTGGTGAAGCACTTAGGAACATGTATGAGGCTCTGGATTCAGCTCCCAGCACTGCAAACATAATGCGTATATACATGCTAGTATGAGTATTTCCCTTAGAATTTCTTTACAAATCATTTAATGACTGTTATACTGTACACAAATATTCACCTAGGCAATATCAAATGTGTAAATTTATAGAGCTGTAAAACTGATCTCTCCATATACTTAGGTAAAGTGGTAAATTGTTATTTATAGAAAGTGTCTCACACTGGTGATTTCCTCTTCCTTTTACACAATGCCTGAAAGCAGCATGTCCGTGGAACTAGCTGGGGGCGATACGGTGCAGTGTAATCTCTGGGTTTCATCCTTTCTCCGTCATATTGTCAGCCAGACTAGGTTTCTTAAAGAAGCAGCTAGCATGGGGGTATACTGAGGGAGGGACTCTGCTTCCTTTGCTTTACTATATAATATTATACCCAGTGTGCTAGCAAACCGTTCTTAGGTATATCATCCATGCTATTGCAGCTGAACCGCACCTGGCCTTCTTTTTTCTCTCTTTCTGAACTTGGACACAGAGCATGTGACTTCCTCGAATGCAAACACTCTCCACTGTGATTACCCATAGTGCTTCAGTGGTACACTCTGACGTGTTCCCCTAGACCCCAGGGTAGCAATATCGAGAACAAAAAACCATTCACCTTTGTACATAGTAGTCCCCTTAGCCACAGCTCCTCCCTCTTTGCAAGTTTACCCTTGGCCAACCTAAACCTGAAAATACTGAATGGAAAAATCTACAGTTTATCTACAGTTTATAATTTTTAAGATGTACCTCGTTCTGAGTAGCATGATAAGTTCTCATGCCACCCAGCTGACTCTTAGGTGGGGTTGAAATCATCCCTCTGTCAGACATATCCACATGATGTACCCTGCCTACCTTGTGGTCACCCAGTGGCCATCTGATTATTGGATAGAGTCCACAATATCTCAGTACTGTGCTCAGGTAACCCTTATTGTAGTTAATGTTGGTCCTGGAGCACAAGAGTACTGTTAAGGGCAAGTGGAATGTGTAAGACCCCATTCACATAACTGTCACTGTAGAATGTTATTGTTGCTATTTGTGCCTACTTTATAAATTGAACGTCACTGCAGGCATCGGTAAAAGTAAAAAGCCCCAGTATACATAGTGCTGTCTCCAGTTTCTTCTCTCCTTGGGGTCATGGGACATATTCCCAGTGGGTAAGGAGGAGCTGCTGCACTCAGTGTTGTTGAATGGCCAACACTGAGGTTAAGCAAACACATCCATCCTTACCTTGCATACATGGACTTCCATGCTGGACTTTATTTCAGCATGCTGACAGAGCAATGACAATGCCTCCTTGTGCATGCCCCAATTCCCTGTCACTCTGAGGCCACCTGGGTGCACACTTCCTGGAATCCTTTCTTCTTTCTCGCCTGCCTCTATCCTCAGTCCAATTTTTGTTTCCAGTTTTTCTTTATGATTTTCAGTAAGTCTTGAATCTTGTTTATTGGTCAGGTGGAAGTTAATTTTCTATTACCTTTACTTAGTGTACATTCGGGAGCGCTTATGTCGAGGTCAAAAGACACCTTGGCCGAGTTAGTTCTCTTCTTCCATCCTGGGTCCTGGGGATTAGAACTCAGATAGTCAGGCTTGGAGGCACGTTCCTTTACTCACTGAGCCATGTAGTCAACACCTAGATGGAAATAAAGTTTTCTGTTCTGTGGAGAATTCTTGGGCTTTTTGTGTTGTGTCTTATTTTAAAATGTCATCTGCTGTTTAGATTGGACTAATAGTGAATTCACAGGTAAATGGATGAGGAGTGAGGTCTCAGCTGAATTTTCCTCTCAAGGGCCATGCTTTGTATGTTCTAAAGTATTCCACTACCTACATTTTATTATGAAGTATTCCAAACTGAAGTGTTGGTGGGGGTGTTTTAGAGTGAGCACCCAGCCCCAACCAAGCCCTCACCATTCTTTCTGCTGGCTTCATTGCATCTTCCTCTCTTGCCCCACCCATCCATTCATCTTCTTTCTTACCTACTTCCCAGAGGGCTGCAGATAGCCTCACACCTATCCCAAAACACTTCAGTGTGGATACAGGGTGTTTACAGTGTGTACTGTGTTTATAGCTAATAATGGACATCTGTGTCTTTACAGTCCCTTTCTCAGATATAAAGGTAACAGTAGCTTTCACGTGTTAACATTTTCCTAGAGATTTCCTGTTCTGTTATGGGATGATGGCCCAGAATTAGAATGTTAGGGTGAGTTACTCTTTTAACTTGGTGCTGGATTAATCTGACTGTGTGCTAGCAGATGACTCTGACGGTGTCAGTCCATTTTTAAATTGCCAAATGAGAACTGGTACAGCCAGGCCTCTTAGGTTTGTAATTCCTGTTATGTGGGAAGCTAAGGCAGGAAGAATGAAAGTTCAAGGCTAGCCTGGGTTACAGAATGAGTTTAGGGCTAACCTGGGCAACTTTGTGAGACTCTGTGCTGGGAACAAAAGAGTTAGAGCCCTTGCCTAGCATTCTCAAGGCCTTAGGTTCATGTCAGGATACAATACACAAAACAATGAATAAATAGAACAGACACTTAAATTTGTGTATATTGTCTGAGAGCATAGCTCGACAGTAGAAGGGTTAGCATCCAAAACATCCGAGGTCAGGCCACAGCACCAAAAACTGGCATCTGTTTATAGAATACAACACGACGTCTTGATTCGTTTATATGTTGTAGAATGACCTAATCAGGCCAATTAGTATATGCGTCATCTCACATAATCATCATGTTTTTGCGATGAGAACAGGTAAGCTCTCTCGGTTCACACTTGTTAAGTATACAGTACATTGTTCTTAACTCATTGGATTGTAAACAGGTTGCTTGGGCTCGGCTTATCTCATGCCTGACTGAAATCTCTCAACTATGCTCTTCATCCCCTCAGACTGTTTGGCTCAGGTCTCTGGTGGCCGCCGTAGGTGGACGAGAACTGTCTTTGGTAACATCCCTGTGGACTGAGGTCACAGGCCATGGCCTTTCTGTAGCTATGACTTTGTCTTTCCTGTTGATTTTGACTGTCTCAGACTAGCCTGCATAGTGATTTCTCTGGAAGTAAAGCAAAATGGTGAGTTTAATGCTCACCACTGTAGTTCTCCGTGTGCTTTAGGATTGACCAGTCTGTCCTGCTCTGTGGCTCCTTCATGGCTGTGTTTCCTTGGCAGAGACCTAGCCTCCCTGGCTGTCTTTGGTCAATTGGTGTCCTGTAGGTGGATGGCAAGTGGGGCGGTGACTGACAAAGGAGGCTGAGTTCATCCTGTGCTGTGTGACTTCCAGGAGGGAGGCTGTGATTGGTCCTCACACAGAAATGTGACTGTCTGTCTCATGTTCGATCCCTGTTTTCTGCCTTCAGAGCACATGTTGGTGCCAGCAGCCTGCGGCTTCTGCTGCTGTGTAGTGGGAGGCTGGTGGTTGTCCTGGGTACTTCAGGGATTTACTGCCATCCTTCGATCTGCCTTCAGTTGATAGTGAGGAGGGTATGTGTAGAGAAGAGAGGGTGGCACCGTCCTTCCTTATAAGCTCACTCAGGTTGGGGCGATGCCCAGGGGATCATGCATGCCTGACACTTCCTATGTACGACTGGGTTCCTTTCTGCTGTTTTAACTTAGCAGTGGTTCATGTTCACTGTAATTGGTCCACGTATTCCATACTGGAAACAGGCAAGATGTGGCGACGCCCAGAGCCTCTGCATTAGAGCCCCTCCCTCCCGCTGTTGTCCTCTGCCAACCTTTGGGCACACAGGTGTGTGACACACTGCTTCAAGAAAGTGCCCCGTGCTCCTGAGCAGTTACAAATTAAACTAATTCTTGGCATTTCAAAAGTCACCATCCTTGACGCCGTGTCTTAAACCCTCTTGTTTTCTGACTTTCTTGGCCACCGAGCATGCCCACAACTGCCACCCTGTTATCCAGCTACATGTTTGTGGCCCCAGAATCTCCATTACCAAGTCCACCTTACCTGCCAGTCTGCAGACCCGGGACCTCTGTCATATAATGAGTGCCTGTTTCTCTGCGCCTGGCTCACAGTCAGGTGCAACCCCAAGTGCCCCAACAGGATGCCATTGGTGGTCCCCACAGCTCTCCCACTGTTATTAAGGAGACTGTTTTTAACTCCAGTTCAGGTTTTAGCCTAGTTAAAGGAAAATAACAGGATAAAAACTATTTAAATTGCCACTGACTAACCAGTGACTAAAGATGTCTGGAGGAGAAGCCAGGTTGCCTTATTGCAAGGAACATTCCCCGAAAAAGACCGATGTAGCATTTGACACTAAAGCTTAGACCACCCGTCCCTCAGAGGTTCAACTCAACCTCAAGTGCTTAGAGGAGAGATGCTAGTCTTTGTGTGTGTGTGTGTGTGTGTGTGTGTGTGTGTGTGTGATTTATTTATTTATTTTTAAATCAAGTCGTAATTTTTACTTATTCACACAGGGGTTATCAACACAAAAAGGCAGGACGTGGGGAAGGGGATGACACCACAGTGTGGGTGTTCAGGAAGTACAGATATCTTTCAGAACAGGGTATCGGCTGGGTGAAGGTTCAGGGGACAGGTCACTATGACTCTGCCTATGATTCACTTGTCCCTATCTAAGTTGGTATTGTCCGCCAAGGCTACCTATTTACAAGGTCTATGACTACTCAGGCTGGTAAATTTCCACAAAAGCTGCCTGTTTACAATAGCTTATAGCCAATGTTTTTCCACAGAGACCCAAGACTTGGTGTTAGTATACATGTATGACAGGCCTATTGCTGATTTTAGGCCTATGGCTGATTTTAGGCCTTCAGTGTATAAACAAGGCTGCCCCTGACATCTCCTCCATTTTCTTAGAAGGGCTGTGGCGATTCTAATCTTTCGAAGGCAGAGGCCTGACCTCCAGTAATTGAAGGGGACTTTGTAATGGCTCCAGTCCCCCTGTCATTGTCCAGTGAGGCATGAGGGCCATATCCATCCCGATGTCTTTTTCCTGGAGAGGGGATACTTTTGACATCAACCCCTATGCAGTCAGGCTTGTCCCTCAGGGAACCCAGAGAGATATTTTTAACTTTTATTTATATTCCCTTGCAGTGCTTAGCCTCGCAGCATAAGCAAGAATTCAGATCGCCTGTCAGAGGGGGTTCTGGGTGGCCCCTCTCTGCTTGGTCTAGGAGCAGAAGTCCCCTCTTTTAGGTTGGGTGGAGATGGGTTTTGGGAACACCCAGGATAGAATAACAACCTCATCTTGAGTCTCGTGGTCCTCCATAGCTAACTTATGATAATATATCTGAATAGGTTTTGCTACCAAGTTATTTATCTGTTGTTTCACAAAGTTAGTCAGTCTATTTAAGGCCCAGGGACCAAAAGAAATAAGCAAAAATAACCCAATTAATGATCCAAAGATGGGAGGAAGTAGGGTTGACAACTATGGAGAGGTTGAAAACCAATTCTTGTACCAGCTCTCATCTTTCTCTTTCTCTCTCTGTCTTTTCTCAGGGCCTTTTCTGACCTTATTCATGCAAGATGCTAGTCTTAATTTTTAACTCAAAGCCACCTTGTTACAATAGGAATTGTAACTCTTAGGGCCTGGGGGGATGACTCTATGGGTAAGAGTGCTTGCTGGGCAAGCATGAATGCCTGAGTTCAAATCCTCAGCCTCCATGTGAAAACCAGACATGGTGATGTGTGCTTCTGTAACCTGGTGTTCTTACATGAATGCAAGGTGGGGATAGAAAGATCTCCAAAGTTGATAGATCAGCTAGTCTAGAGTATACAGTCGTGAACAGCAGAGACCACACCCCTCCCCCATCCCAAACAAGGTGGAGGATGAAGATATGCCCACATTCACACACAGGAGTACACTCACACATACACAGAAAGAGAGGTAATTCTCTTTAAATCCCATAGTGAATAAAAATCGTGTCTTAATACTTAAGTCTGTGTTGCCCAAAATAAGGGATGTTACATGACATTAGCTATAATGTCTGGGTATTAAATCTTATTCCAATTCTTTTACTGGTCTGCTTAACAGATCCCCTCCCCCTTTACAAACACTAATCTACTGGTGATGCAGTTGGTCTCTAATCTGGGTCATTCCTTGACCTTCTGTGACCTTTTTCTTCTTAGGATGCCCCCTTTGGGGGCCTTTCTTGACAGGAGAGGCTGTGGGGCTTGCTTCCTATTTGTAGGGCCCTGCCTCAGTTTCTTTGGGGCCTCTGATTCCGCCTAGTTACCTCTCTTTACCCCATAGCTCTCACCCATCTGTCTCCTTCCCTGGCTCTAGTTTCTCCATTAGCTGTTTCCCTTTCCAGCTTCCAGTGCGGCCAGGCTCTGGTCTGTACCTGGCCACAGCAGGTAGAGCAGGGCATTCAGTCTGGCTCCACATACCTCTGAGGATCTTGTGGGTGGTGAGAACACATTCCTTTGTTTCATGCACCTGACTTACAGGCCTAGGGTCATATCAGAGGCTCGTTCATGGAACACTCTCCCCTACTCTGTTGCTGTGCCCCCTCCCACAGCAGCCCTGAAAACTCTCCTCACACAGCACCCCACTAGAGTTGCCTCCTTTGAGGATCCTCAGGCTGTTGAGAGAGATGCTTAGTTTTCATTGTCAAGGAATGGGACATTGAAGGGATTAGAATCACGATGGAAATTTGTAGAGGTATATCCAGGAGGGGATTTCTAGAAAGGTTTACCTGGGACTGGATGATCTTCCTTGAATGTGGGCAACAGCATCCATCCCTTGGAAGATGGAAGCAAGCCCATCATTGCTCTTGTCTGACTGTAGATACAATGTATCTATATTCATCACTCTTGGGTGGCTATAGATGCAATGTATCTACATTCATCACGCTTTTCTGGCTGTGGATACAATGTATCTACACTCATCACTCATGTTTGACTGTAGATACAATGTATCCAGTTGCCTCCTACTCCTGTACCGTCACTTACTTTTTCCTTGTATAATGGACTGGACCCTCTAACCATGAGCCAGAATAAACCCTTCCCTCCTTAAGCTGCTGTTATCAGATATTTTATCACAGCTGTGAGTTCTAGAAATGTCAGGCTGTGGAGAAAGGAGAACAGACTACCGTCCTGAGCCCTCTCGGGCCCCTTATGCCAGCATCATCTGTTATCCACACAGCAGACTCCAGGTCACACATTGGAGTGTCCTGTGTATAGTCCAACGTGGTGCCAGTCTCTCAGGGACAGACCTTTGGAGTGCCCTCAGTTGCCATGGAGAAGGCAGAGGGCACCTACATGTGCTGCTTTTGTTCTACTCAAAGACTGCCCCCAGCATTTCAGTGCTGGAATTTTAATTTATTAAAATTAATTAATAATTTAAAATTATTAAAATCTTTGTTTATAAATAAGGATGCCCATGAGGGGAATGCCAGTCTCTGATGTAGCTCAAGAGTGAGAAGCATGTTAGACGTGTAACATCCTCCTGTTAGGGACCTATGAATGAACACCTCGTGTCCACCTCACCTCATCTTCCATAAGAAGTCATCCCAGGGCTAGAGTGGTAGTACATACCTTTGATCCTAGCAGTGGGAGACAGAGGCAGGCCTGTCCCTGTGAATTTGAGGCCAGCCTGGTGTATATAGTGAGTTCCAGCCAGAGCTACACAGTAAGATCCTGTCTCAAAAGGAAAAGTCTGTCCATGCTTGGCACTTTCTTAAGGGGTCCAGGTTTTTTAAAAGTCACCAGTAAGTTATTAAACATCTGTGTTAGGTTTGCAGCAAGCCTGACCAGAAGTTAGCGTCCCCTCTTGCTGACCTCTTACTACATGGCCACTGATGGAGCCCGTATCAACACTCCATCATGAGCTGAATTGGGCAATGTGCATTAGGTTTCATTTTGAGTTTCCCTCTCTATGGTTTATGCTGACATATCCAGCATGATGTCATCATTTCTAGAAGCTTCCAGCCCTCAGACTCCTCTGAGGAACTCAGATCCATCTTCTTCCCCTCAGCAGTCTGGGATCTGGTTACTGCCTCTGGACTTTGCCTTTTCTGGAGCATTGCAGAGTTGGAGCCGCACACACAGTGCAGAGCTTTTCAGATGGGCTCATTGTCCCATTGGCAGGTACCCACATCCTTTCCCTGACTTGTGTCCTGTTGTGTGGAACTGCCACTGTTTATCTATGCATCTGGTTGCTTCCAAAGTTGGGCAATAAGAAGAAAGCCACTATGGGATGGTTTTCATGCTGATGGAATTTTTGGACCAAGTAAAAAAGATATGCCGGCCTGCCAAGTATGGTGATAGAATCCCAGCACTTGGGAGGCTGATGCAGGATGGCCCCTCAGAGTCCATAGAGCACAGAATGAGTTCAGAATTAGCCTGGCTAAATCAAATGGCCCTGTCACAGAACTAAACAAACAAAGCAGAATAAAGCAAAAATCATTGATGGTTTGTAAAATTCTGGATTAAAAACACTTCATGGACTCTTTGTCCTCAGCAGTCACTCACGGAGGTTTGAATGTCTTTCCAGGGATGACGACCAGGAAGATGGCTTCTGCCAGCCTTACCGAGGGATTGCTTGTGCACGCTTCATCGGGAACCGGACTATTTATGTGGACTCCCTCCAGATGCAGGGGGAGATTGAAAACCGAATCACAGGTAGGAGCACACAGCCCCCTTGGGGTACAGCAAGTGCCTATGCAGGAGCCTTCTGGGCACATGGCCAGCCACCACTCTGGTGCTTTACCAGTTAGTGGCACAGACGGTCAGGCTCTCTAACGTCTCTTACAGTAGGAAATAAGAGATCTTTCTCAGAAGTGGTTGCTTTTGCTCATGTGTTCTGGCCTAAAACATCTCCAGTGTTTTAAGTTAGTGTGTTAGTGCTTTATCTCCCTGTACAATAATGAGATGTTCAAAATTAAACGCTTCATAAAATGAAATGAAATGTTTCTTTGGCTCACAGCTTCAAGGCTGAGATCCCAAGCTACATGGCACTAGCCCATTGAGGCCTCTTTGGCTTCACCATGTCATACTGGGAGCCATCCTGGTGGGAGCCCATCTGAGAAGGGGTGATGATCACTAGGCAAGACAGGCAGCTGCAGGGGAGTGCTGTGGGGTTGGGGGGCAGACCTGTTTTTTCTCATCAACCTTATGAGAACAGAGCCTGTGAAACCCTTGTCCTGTGAAAACTGCTTCAATCTATTCTAAGGACGGCAATTAGCAACCAGCCACTATGCCCTGTCCCCAAAGTTACCCCCATCTCTCAGCACCACCAGACCGGGAAGCAAACACAAGAGCCCTAAGGGACAGGCACATATATACCACAGTTAGCAAGTGCAGATCTTTGGAACACACACACACACCCTGGCCAGGCAGGGCATGTTGGGGGCACTGACATCACCATCATACTCACTCTGCTTGAGAGCTTGCTCTACATTTCCTGGCCGTTGATGTCACCTGTGTGCCGTGCCTGGTCCACATGTGAACAGTCTGATACCAGCTGCTTGGGAAAGAAGAGTGCCAGGCAGAGGGAATACCGCAGTGGGTGAGGCCCCAGGCCTTAGCTTCCAGAGAACAAAGCCAGGGTTCCAACACCTGGTTCTGGATCTGTGTGGTGGGGTTGGTCAGACAGAAAATGAAGCCTCTCTCCTCGGTCTCTTCAGGAATTTTTTGGCTGGCTGTGAGGTTTCAGCCTCCCAGCCGGGGCCCCTTGTTGGGGGTTTTTATTAGAAGAAGCTTTAGGAAGAAAATCAGAGTGTTGTACTCCACCACTACCTCTAAGCAGGATGCCTTCCTTCCCAGACTCTGAGAGAGACCAGCAGAGTTATGGGGGGCGGAGCTCAGGTACCAGCCCCTCTCTTTGGTTGAATGCTAATTGGTGCTATTGGCCAGGCTTTGTATTAAAATCAGTGATTGCTCAGAGGGGGCGTGGCAGAGTCCTGCCCTGGCAGTGGCGTGGGCTGGAATGAAGATCAAGGCAGAAAGACACCATTGCTGACATGACCTTGTAACTACAGCCAAGGTCATGGTCACAGCAGAGCTTTCGTGAGCTGTATAAGTTATGTAGGTGAAGAGCAGAGGCTGGTGGGAAGGCTCTGTGAACCGTTTGGTGCTCTTACTGCAACATGTTTTAATGTCATCTTGTACAAGTGCAGCCTTGGGTTTGGTGACAAACATGCTTCATGCTGTGACTTAGCACAGGCAGAGCCAATCTGATCCTGCAAAGACAGAATCCAATAGGCTTTGAGTCACAGAACCAACGCGGCTCCACAGAGGAGCTGATTTCACAGCAGCTTGGCTGGTTCAGCATGCACGAGCTCTTTCATGCACAGATATATTGAAAATGTGATATGAAGTCACCCTAAGACCACATAGATAAGGCCAGGGTGAATTTTGAAACTTGGGTTCCCTCCCCAAAGATCTCGCCACACATGTGCACATGTTTTAAAATATGGGAGCATCCCCAAGCTAGAAATTCTTCCGGTCTCTTCCACAGAGCTGATGGGTTATGGGGAACAGCGCTCACCTTTCATAAGTCAGCATGCATGGATTTGTCTCCTCGGTTTGAATTCATTAGTGACAAGGTTATAGTTAGGACCTGCAGGACAAGCCACGTGCCCGACACCCTTGAGTTAGTCTTCAAAACACCACCCACAGACTCCAGGACGAATTTGACATTCTGCTAATTGGCAAACACTGCCTAGACACAAGGTTGACCTGCAGTTGTTTCTTCCTCCTTCCTCTTCAGGGATCAGAGAAAGAACCAGAGAGCTGGGATGCTCAAGCAGCTTGACTTTACAGTTGTTTGGACAGAAAGGCAGGAAGCGAGTCATGTAGGTCTGCAGTCTGCATTAAACACTTGGGAAAAACGAGGCAGGAAGGATGCTGCTTACTGGCTTGCTCAGCCTGCTTATATAGTACCCAGGGCCACCAGACCAAGGGAGGCACCGCCCACAATGGTCTGGGCCCTCCCCCATCAATCTCTAATTAAGAAAATGCCCCTCAGGCTTGCCTACGGCCTGATCTCATGGAAGCATTTTCTTAATTGAGGTTTCTTTCTCTCTGATGACTTTAGCTTGTGTCAAGTTGACTTTAAAGCTAGCCACCATACCTCATTATCACGGCAGTGTCTGGTGTGGAGATCGTCCTACTGGTGACATTCAGGGCATAGGCAAAGATGAAGGGCAGGAGCTGTGGAAACACCTTTCCTGCCTAGAGCTGATTTGTGGTAAACAGCCTTCAAATGACACAATTGGAGTCCTGTAAATACAGCTGTGACATTGTGAGCTAGTTTCCTGGAGGCAATGCTGACTTTGCTTTTCTTAGACCTTACTTGCCTGGCACCAAGGCTGACTTTTCTGGAAAAAATCCTGGACACATTGTCCTTGATCTCTGGTGCCCATACAAGGGTGGGGCCTATGATTTTCAACCCCGGGCCTAGCCAGTCCTAGGCTAGCCAGTCCCGGGTGCCACTCACATCCCACGCATATTTTAGGTACAGTGTGAAAGTTCATCTCTCTCTTTGTAGTCTCAACTAATCACTTTACAGATAAGGATATGGGCCCACAAAGGATTGAAGGACCACTTTTATACAGTAAACGAGAGTTTGCTGAAATTGGGACTCAACAGTTGCAGTTCGGGGGGGGGGGGGGGGCTATTCTTGTTGCATCCTGGGAATAAATGGCTGGCAGCAGTGCCACCTGCTGGCTACATCTGGTAGTGCACACCCCAGGCTCCCAGCCTCTGGGTTTTTGCAGTATTCACAGTGTCTGCAGGGTATGTAGGCAGAAAAACCTGACTGCTTCAGTTCTCTACGTCTTACTGGATACCTAATCCCCACTCTGAGCTTCCCAGTCCTCCATGCCCGTCCTTTTTTACTGTCTGGGCTGTCTGCCTGGACCTCTCAGGTTGAGCCTGGTGTACCTAGAAGACCCCTCGTTAGATTGATCCTCATCTTTGCTATGTTCCCAAGCTATCCAAGGTCAGGCTGTGTAGAACCCCATTCTGTAGAACCCCCAACACAGACTAGATTCTCAGGAGATAAGCTCTGGAGATAAGTTAGGTGGGGTGGGTCAAGGTCTCCAGGGTTGGAATGAGGTCGAGAAACGGGGTGTACAGGGCTCAGGGTAGCCGCAGGAGTCAGGGGTGGGGAGTCAGGGTTGTAGAGTGAGCCACTGATGCTAAGGTTGTAGTTTGGGCAAAGCACAGAGGTGCCGGGGTGCCTAGAGTGGTAAATGTTAGTGTATAGAGTGTGGGTCAGAGTTTTTCAGAAGTTGTGTGTCTGGAATAGGATAATGGGGGTGTGGGACAGTCTCAGATAGGCACCCAAGTCAGGGGTTGAGGCTCAGAGAAAGGGATGATTAGTGATGGGTTTTCAGAATGTGGCAGGTGCCTGGAAACCCAGAGAGGACGGAGTGAGAGCTATCTTTGGTAGGGGTGAAATAGAGGGGCTGGAGAGGATCAAGGACCAAGGGTTGGGGCTTCAGGGTTTGTTGTCTGGTAAGAGCAGGGCTGAGGAGTGGGACAGATTAGAGACTGATTGAAGGCGGGGTATCTGCGCAGGGGCGGGGCTTGAGCTGTCTACCGCTCACAGGCTTCTTTTCCGCAGCTGCCTTCACCATGATTGGCACCTCCACGCATCTGTCAGACCAGTGCTCACAGTTTGCCATCCCATCCTTCTGCCACTTCGTCTTCCCTCTGTGTGACGCGCGCTCCCGGGCGCCCAAGCCGCGGGAGCTGTGCCGGGACGAATGTGAGGTGTTGGAGAATGACCTGTGCCGCCAGGAGTACACCATCGCCCGCTCCAACCCGCTCATCCTCATGCGGCTCCAGCTGCCCAAGTGCGAAGCGCTGCCCATGCCCGAGAGCCCTGATGCTGCGAACTGCATGCGCATCGGGATCCCTGCGGAGAGGCTAGGTCGCTGTGAGTGTCCTGAGGGTGCAGAGCTGAGCAAACACACCTCTACCGATCCTTAAGGTCTCTGTGCCCTATTAAGCAGGGCCAGGTCTCTTGCCAGAACGTACAGCGCAGTCTCAGGGAAGCCCTCTAGTGGTTGGGTGGTTAACCTGCGCCAGGCTCTCTCCTGAGCTGGACCCTTCCCTTGTGTGAGTTGGTCTCCTTGAACCTGGGATTTCCAAAGCAAGTGATCCTAGTTCACACACCAATCCATGTTGGGACCATTGGAGTGGCAGAGCCAGCCTCCCAGCTTGTTTAATGGTCTTCAGGCTCCTGAGCCCCAAGGATTCCTAGCACTGGACAACTTTCAAGTGCTCAGCAAGCCCCTAACATGCATCCCTGGAGAAGGGAATCTAGGCCGATCAGCTTTCCTGGGTGCCTGCCCATGGAACATCTGATCTCAAAGATAGGGACTATTCCATTCTTCCCAGCCTGAGATCTGGGCGTGGCCTCTTTGAATCTGCACAGGACAGAAGCATATGCTCTGTCTTCCCTCTATGGGAGAATGCTGCATGGATCCCCTAGGCCTGTGGGCTGGAGGTTGTAGTCAGGTCCACGAGCCCTGGCAGGTGGATGGAGGCCAGTCAGGGTAGGTCTAGCGTGCCTATGTCAGCAGCACTGAAGACTGCAGGGGTGCTTCCACAACACGTAGGGAGACCCAGGCCTGAGGCTTCTTTCCTGCAGACTCTAAGGATACCTGCGGTTCGGTTCATCTGGGTGTTCCAGAAGTGAGCACCTCCTTACGTTACTAAGCTGGTGAAGTTGCAGGAAGCCTGAGTTAAGATTTAGATTCGTCTTAGGACAGAGTTTTCAGTAAACACAGGTGAACAGACACATCCTAAGTTCTAACTCCTCTATGGAAGCGGGGCAGCATGTGTTTTCACACCGGGCTGAGCCAGACTAGGCGGCAAACATGGCCTCTGTGGGTACAGGACCAGGCCCAGGATTTGCCCCAGATGCTTGTGCCATTCCATTTTGCTTCTAGAACAGGCTGCTGTTGGCATCAGCATCCCGGCCTGGGTAGTTGGGTGTGGGTACTTGGTAGGTCCCATAGGTATCTCGGGACTGCAGCATCTATAGTAGGCTTCATTCCCATATGTGTCCCTGCTGCACCTCCTGTGTCACTGGTGGGCCTGGGACTTGATTCGATCCCTCTAGTTCTACCCCTCAGGTCATCTGTAAAACCCCAGGAGGAAGGGTGGCTCGGCTCTGTTGTCCCTTTCTGAAATCCCTAAGGGCGGGAGGGCTCTGCATACAGGTTTGCCAGTGTCCCTGGATCCTCAGGCCTCTAACTCTCTATTTCTCTCAGACCACCAGTGCTACAACGGCTCTGGCGCTGACTACAGGGGGATGGCCAGTACTACCAAGTCAGGCCACCAATGTCAGCCTTGGGCTCTGCAGCACCCCCACAGCCATCGCCTGTCCAGCTCAGAGTTCCCAGAGCTGGGAGGAGGCCACGCCTACTGCCGGAACCCTGGGGGCCAGATGGAAGGCCCGTGGTGCTTTACACAGAATAAAAACGTGCGCGTGGAACTGTGTGACGTACCCCCGTGTAGTATGTATTCTCTCTATATATATATATTTAAATGTTGACTGTCTAGCTTGCCTGCAATGGGAGTTTGTCTCTTTCCAGGGGACATTGTCCCATTTTACCATACAATCGTTTGTTTTAAATAACATTGTAACAGCAGATCATCATAGGATGGTTTAGGATATGACAAGTCTGACCGCTGTGCTGGGCAGCCCTAATCTCACTTTCTAGAGGTGACTGCCATGTGCATTCTAGAACCTTCCTTCCACTAGGTCCCTGTGTGTAAAATAATTTCACAGCTCACCCTAGCAAAGTACAGTTTCTTTATGCCTTAATAGTTACTCTGTAGGTCTGGAGAGATAGCTCAGGGGTTAAAAGCAGTGGCTATTCTTCCAGAGCCCTGAGCTCAACTCCCAGGAACCACATAGTGGCTCACAAACCATCTGTAATGGGATCTGATGCCCTCTTCTGGCATGCAGGTAGGTGTACATGCAGACAGAGCACTCACACATCAAACAAACAAAAACTAAAAATTAAAAAGTTACTCGTATAGCTGAAAACACTCATGGGAAGTTGGGTGCCAATCCGTCAGCAGTAATGGCCTTTGGTGGCATGTGTCGCTATGACAAACGGCCTCCCCTTCCCCGATACGATCATTTTTTCCCAGTTAGTGTGTGTTCTGTTGGTAACTTCTAAAATAATGATGATAAAACAAATGAGTTCATTACTGGGTGGGCAGGGCTCACGTTTCCACTCTTGGGGGGAGGGGTGCAAAAGCTCCCCACTGCTTTAGCTTTCTTTCGTGTTGCTATGGTAACATACAATTAGCAAAAGCAACTGGTGGAGGAGTGGGCATATCAGACTTCTAACTCTGTGTTAGTCAATCATGGCGGGGAACTCAGGACAACAGAAACTTGAAGCAGCCATCACGTGCTGTCCGTCAGGAGCAGAGAGGGATCCCCAAACACATGCCAGGGCTCGGCTTGCCTTCTCTGTTACACTCAGTCCAGGATTCCCAGGCCAGGGGATAGTATTCCCATGTCAATTATCCTAATCAAGACAGCCCCTTAATCTCGAGCAGTGGCTCTCAACCTTCCTAATGCTGTGAGCCTTTAATACAGTCTCCCATGCTGTGGTGGTTCCCCAACCATCAGATTAGCTTTGTTGCTACTTCGTAACTGTCATTTTGCTACTGTCATGAATTGGAACATAAATATTTGTGTTTTCTGGTGGTCTTGGGTAACCCCTGTGAAAGGGTCATTCAACCCCTAAAGAGTCACAACCATCAGGTGGAGTACCACTGAAACAGACAGTCCCTCGAAGGTGTTCCTGGAAGCTTGCAACCTAAGTATCTGGTTGGCAATACAAACCATCACACCCACCCTAAACATAAAAACAGAACCAGAGTCTGGTTTCTCTGTCTCTGCCTCCCCTGACTTCTGAAGCATTTAGCCTTGGATCCTTTCTGGGGAAGTTGCTGCACAGGGACAGAGGAGAGTGTTGTCTGTCATTTTATTGTATGTTATTTCAGAGGACCAGGTGATAAGACTGGGTTTTAGGGATGGTGATTTTTTTTTGTCCCTCCCCAAGGTGGCACCAGAGTCATCTCTTTCAGATGTACAGTCACTAGAAAGGCCTTGCTTGCTGGTTAAAGAGTATCCAAGTTTGGTGTCCTTATTTCTGAGTGCTCAAAGAAAAGGAGAAGCCTGAGGTTTCCTCTAGAGAGCCCACCTCCCACTCTTATAGGGGAGGCCAGCTTTAACTCTCCTCAGACCACACCAGCTCTCCTTGAAGTTTAATGGCTTCAGTTACAATGGTACATGGGGTGGAAAGCCATCCAGGGACAGCCAGCCTTCTGTCATGCGCTGCCCAGGGTCTGTCAGTCCCCCACCTAACCCTTCTTACTGTTGTCCTTCAGTCTGTCTCCTTGTGTGCCCTTCTGCACCTTCCTGTAAGTTCCTTATATGGAGACAAAGCTCAGCTTTTCCTTGAGAAGGATGAAGGGGAAATCGGAAGGTCCTTGTTTGTTGGTCTTGTTGGTCGGGATCGTCAGTCAAAAATCTTTTGCTCCCATTGCCTGTCTGTATTCCTTTTACATCAAAGGCATCGCTAACTGTTATCCTGAAAGATATCATCATTATTCAAAACTGTTAAAATGTATTAAAATGTTAAATAGAGGAAAGACTATCAAGGAGCCCTGGGTCAAAATGAAAGAGCTGTATGGGGGGATACAGCGCCTGGTCTGGCTTGTTTCCGGGCAGCCACCATGTTCCCGGTGCTCCTCAGCTCTGACCAGGGCTCCAGCTAGCTAGATGTGCAGGTCCTGGCACCTATGAGACACCAGCATGGGGGATGGCTCTGCCAATCCCCCACGCTGCATCCACAAAGCTCAGCCGAACCCCAGACAATATCTGCCATCCTCGCGGTACCTGGTAGAAATGAGACTCTTAAAGCTTCATGATTATCTAAAGGATTCATATATTTAGAAATGCTCAATCAACAAGATGCCCACACAATTAGAGTTGTTACCCAATAACTGACCTTTTGATAGAAATTGCTACCCAGGACAGCTTTCAACCCATCCATGGTTCTCCATGGCTGCTAGCCTCCTTCTTCTCCTCCCCTTCCTCTCTTTCTTACCTCCCCTTCCTCTTTTTCTCCTCTCCCCTTCCTCTCATCCTCTCCCAGCTTCACCTCCTCTTCTACTGCCTAATCACTGAGCTCCACTGCAAATACAATGTAGCAGAATAAGTATCCTGCAACAAGAGCGGAATGTGGGAATAACTAGACACACTTGAATTCTTTACCTAGTTGTGGGAGGGGTGTGGAGAGCTTGTAGTTGAAAAAGAGAGTACCTTCTAAAAACTCATGAATCCCCTCTGTGGTACCCAGGTCCCCGAGATGGCAGCAAGATGGGGATCCTGTACATCCTGGTCCCCAGCATTGCCATCCCCCTGGTCATCGCTTGCCTTTTCTTCCTCGTCTGCATGTGCCGCAACAAACAGAAGGCCTCAGCCTCCACCCCACAGCGAAGGCAGCTGATGGCTTCACCCAGCCAGGACATGGAGATGCCTCTCATCAGCCAGCACAAACAGGTCCTCCAGCCTATATGCAAATGAGGCAGCTCTTTGGGGGATGGGGGTGGGGGCAGTGATGAAGTATCAGCCAGCACAAACAAGTCCGGGGGCCGGGGGGGGGGGGGGGGAGTGGTTCTAGGAAGCAGCACTGATAGGGCCCAGCAGAAGCATGGGGTATCAGCAGGCAAGCATACATAGGAACCTCTTATGTGCCCTAGCCTGAGCTCAGGATGGGTTCCTATGACACTGGACTCTGGATTTCCTCCACACACTGAGCTGAGGAAGCCTGGGTAAAAAGTAAAAGAGAAGCGAACCCAGGAACAGTCAGCCATACTTTACCTGGGTGTAGTTGCGGTGGAGGTGAGTAGCTTAGCATTGAAAACAGAGTGTAGCTTCTGCTTCTGTAAATTGATGGGAATGTGTATGTCTGTAGGATTCACACCTGAGACCTCCTCTCCCCCTGCCCCAGGACCTCCTTAGTCCCCCTGCCCCAGGACCTCCTTAGTCCCCCCGCCCCCGGACCTCCCTAGTTCCCCCTCCCCCAGGACCCCCTCTCCCCCTGCCCCAGGACCTCCTGAGTCCCCCTGCCCCAGGACCTCCTCTCCCCCTGCCCCAGGACCTCCTTAGTCCACCTGCCCCAGGACCTCCTTAGTCCACCTGCCCCAGGACCTCCTTAGTCCACCGAGCTGCCCTGGTTTTGCCTTGAGGGTGGCACAGAAAAGGAGAATTCAGGTTGCTCCACCATTTGAAGATTACCATGCACTTTTGAGAAATTAGGGTACTTTTTTGAATACTGCAGGTGACGGCCTCACCAGGCCTCAGGCATGCACACCTAGCTCATGACTGGCTTTGAGACCAGTGTTCTGTCTTGGGTGACTTTGAAGGCTCTTGGGGTGCTGCGGACAGGGCTGCCTCATTCAGCTCTTCAGCCGTGAATTCCTGCTGCTTGCTGTGGGTTGGGATTGGCCTTTGAGGAGTGTAGGCACAGAAGCCTTAGAGGCTGCAGATTGTCCACCTACAAGAAGTGGGAGAGGGTCCATGTCACTGGGTATCACTTCTATCCAAAGAATATCCAACTGATCATTAGCACAAAGGAAAGTCTTAGAGTGACTCGGAGGCAGGCTCCATAGGCCATGGTGCTAGGCTCTGAAATGACCAAATTCCAATAGACAGACTGCTAAGGGCAGGACGCCGTGAGCCCATGGGAAAACCAGAGCATCCTGCTGTGGTGTGGGGCTGGGAGAGGTGCAATGGACAGCTCTGTAGGGTTCCTGGGTGATTCTAGGAAACTGGCTCCCGGCTCAGCTGTGATCGTGAATAGATACAGGCATGCGTGTGCATAAGGGCTTGGTGGGGGCACGGAGCTGCACGCTCACATTTTGGAGAGACCTAACATGTAGCTGTGTTCATTCTGGAGGGTTTCAGACGGGGGTAGCCTCACAGCATCGGAACTATAAGTAAGCGTCAAAAGGGTTGCCAGGCAGGCCAAGCCCAGAGCAGACAGGACCAGCAAGGCCTTGCCAGCAATGGAGATCCCAGGTACTCTGCTTTGGCACTGCTTTGACAGTTGTATTTGACTTTCCCTCTTGGCAGGCCAAACTCAAAGAGATCAGCTTGTCCACAGTGAGGTTCATGGAGGAGCTCGGGGAGGACCGGTTTGGGAAGGTCTACAAGGGCCACTTGTTCGGGCCCACCCCAGGAGAACCAACCCAGGCGGTAGCCATCAAGACACTGAAAGACAAGGCTGAGGGGCCCCTGCGGGAGGAGTTCCGGCAAGAGGCCATGCTACGGGCACGGCTGCAGCATCCCAACATTGTCTGCCTACTGGGTGTGGTGACCAAAGACCAACCCCTGAGCATGATCTTCAGTTACTGCTCCCATGGCGACCTCCACGAGTTCCTGGTCATGCGCTCACCACACTCCGACGTGGGCAGCACTGACGACGACCGCACGGTGAAGTCAGCCCTGGAGCCCCCTGACTTCGTACACGTGGTGGCACAGATTGCTGCGGGGATGGAGTTTCTGTCCAGCCACCACGTGGTCCATAAGGACCTGGCCACACGCAATGTGCTGGTGTATGACAAGCTGAACGTCAGGATCTCAGACTTGGGCCTCTTCCGAGAGGTGTACTCCGCAGATTATTACAAACTCATGGGCAATTCGCTGCTGCCCATCCGCTGGATGTCACCCGAGGCCGTCATGTACGGAAAGTTCTCCATTGACTCTGACATCTGGTCCTACGGCGTGGTCCTCTGGGAGGTCTTCAGCTACGGCCTGCAGCCCTACTGTGGGTACTCCAACCAGGACGTGGTGGAGATGATCCGTAGCCGGCAGGTACTGCCCTGTCCGGATGACTGCCCCGCCTGGGTCTATGCCCTCATGATTGAATGCTGGAATGAGTTTCCTAGCCGGAGGCCCCGCTTTAAGGACATCCACAGCCGGCTCAGGTCCTGGGGCAACCTATCCAATTACAATAGCTCGGCACAGACCTCGGGAGCCAGCAACACCACACAGACCAGCTCCCTGAGCACCAGCCCTGTGAGCAATGTGAGCAATGCTCGCTACATGGCACCTAAGCAGAAGGCCCAGCCCTTCCCGCAGCCTCAGTTCATCCCCATGAAGGGTCAGATCAGACCCTTGGTGCCCCCAGCACAGCTGTATATCCCAGTTAATGGCTACCAGCCAGTACCAGCGTATGGGGCCTACCTGCCCAACTTCTACCCAGTCCAAATCCCCATGCAGATGGCTCCACAGCAGGTGCCCCCTCAGATGGTCCCCAAGCCGAGCTCACACCACAGTGGCAGCGGCTCCACCAGCACTGGCTATGTCACCACGGCACCCTCTAACACATCTGTGGCGGACAGGGCAGCCCTACTCTCAGAGGGCGCCGAGGATGCGCAGAACATCCCAGAAGACGTGGCCCAGAGCCCTGTGCAGGAAGCAGAGGAGGAGGAGGGGGGTTCTGTACCAGAGACTGAGCTCCTGGGAGACAATGACACACTCCAGGTGAACGAGGCCCATGTCCAGCTTGAAGCCTGAGGATTATTCGGGGCCTGCAGCACCGGCCCTGATGTAACAGGATGGGGACCTCAAAATGGCTCTGAGAAGTCCCAAAGAGGGGCCCATCACCAAAGCCCAGGGACTGGCAGGCTGATTGGGGCCTGCCCACCCAAGACTGTGAGAGATCTTATACTATCTCCTGCACTCTGTGCCCATAAAACTGCCACTGCCCCCCCAGCTTGGCTGGAGGCCATCTCAGACAGGGACCCTAGGCAGCATGACCACCTCAGAAACAGGACAGGGAGACCACACCTCTGTCTGCTTTATCCTGATGGTAGTTGGCTAGTGAGCTAAGGATGTTGTGCAAAGAAACAGGGTGCATCTTTACTCCCTGTTTTATGGGCCGAGGATTCGGAGACCGGGGGTGAACATGGCGGCAAAGGGCAGCAGAGAGGCTCAGTGGAGCTCAGACGCTCAGTGAACTTCCTGCTGGCTGAGGACGGAGAGAGCTCTTCCTTTTTGTGGCTCACTGCTGAACGTGTTCTTTCTAACAGCCTAAGACCAGCAGAAGCAGGATGCTGCCATCTGCTGGGGGTCCAGAGGACAAGAGGAACCTCTGAACAGTGCCTTGGGAGTGCCTTGTATTAAAGAAAAGTGCCGTTACAAAAAAACCAGCACGCTTTTGTATTTTTTGTGAAGGGTTTTAATTATACTGCGTATGTATTTTGTCTACTTTTCTGGAATTCAAGGGAAAAATGTTTCCTGGGTTTAGAATGTTTGAAAGGAAGCAACGTTGTACAGAAAACAGTATTGTTAAATTTTTTTTTTTTTTAAGAATCCTGTGCAGACCTTAAATGTAATTTATATGGTTTTCTGTGTGCCGTTTTTGTGGAAGTGTTTTGATCCTAAATAATGACTTAGTAATTTAACTGTGTGTATTTTCTCTGAGATGCCATCCCACTGGGGTTGTGTCTGCCTTCATTCTGCCACACGTGGTGAGGTCCTTACATTTCAGAGTTCCCATTCCACGTGGCCATGGACAAGCTGCCTGGCACATGCTGTCAGTTCCTTTTGTAGGCCCCACGCCTGGTATAGCCAATAAATGACCGTTTGTTTGGTTTGTACTTGGGCAGGTGGAAAGGATGTTTGGTCGAGGCGGGCTCCCGCTGGGTGAGGGAGCACTTGGGAAAGGTTTGGGCTGAGCCTTGTTGTGGATTTGCAGTTTTTCCAGGACCAGCAGCTCCATGGGAATGAAGCAAGAATAGAGGCAAATGACAGAGATGACAGACATCCTTTTTTCTCCTTCAATTTATATTGCTTTGTGTGTATGGTTGTGTGTGTGTGTGTGTGTGTGTGTGTCTGTGCATGAGTGTGTGTGCGAGTATATGTGTGCATGTGTGTGCGTGTGTACCATGCATCATAGTGTGTGAGTGGAGTTCAGTTGTTTTCTACAATGCAGGCCCTAGGAATTAAACTCAGGTCATCAGGCTTGGTGGCAAGTACCACAGCCTGCTAAGTCATGTTGCCAGCTCACACACACACACACACACACACACACACTCCTGCTTCTCTGTTACAGCCACAAGTGCAGATTCCCCGAAGGTGCTGTGAAGATGTCCTTGGGTTTCTAGTCTGATACCCCTGGAAGTTCTAGACCCTGGAGCATCACTTTGCGGGGCTCTAGAGAAGGGTATGGCACAGGTGGAGTAAGAGAGGGAGTTATTCACTGCCCGAGGCTGCCCACACCCCAGCTCCATTTGCGGTGTGGCTGCCTGTCAAGGCCACGGAGCCCTTGGTATCAGGACACTGAGATGCAGTGACAGCCTGGACTGAGTCCTGGAGACAGACACACCAAACAACCCCTGTGCCCAGGCCCTTTGCTTTGATGGGGTCTGGAGCCAAGCCTTTGCCCCAGTCAGCCCCTTACCCACATCCCACTCTCTCCAGAGAGCTGCGGCGATGCCATCTTTGGCCTCCATGCATCCGGTCTGACTAGGTGTTGCTGGCCCAGGATCCCTTTCCGGTGTGTGTTACGGATGCTGCTGGTGTTGCTCGAGGAATTGCAGGCTGAGACCCACTCAGGCAGAGAACCATTGACCTCTTAGGACTCGTTTCCAGGGCCCGTTCCTCCCATTTCTTTCACTTTGTGAATTTAGACTTTTCCTTGAATGAGTTGACTTTGTGAGCCCCACAGAGTACCCCAAATTTGTCTATCCACTTTTAGGGGAAAGAACTGTCTTAGACAGAAACCACTTATAATAGAAAGTCCCCCGCTGTGACATAGATGTGCCTCCTGCCAGGTCATAGCCCTGACCTTGGCCTGCCCCTTCTATCCTCCCAGCTTTCCAGTCTCTTAATTAGGCAGGGGATAACAAGTGCGGAACTCATGACTGAAGCCATCATAACAAAAGCCAGAACTGTAAAAAGAGGAACCTCTGGGTTACTTGATTAGAAGGGCTGTCACACGGGAGCCTTCACAAATGAAAGACCAACAGGGTTTTGGACTTTATTTTGGCAGAGCTGTGTGGTCTTACAGTAGGAGGCTGGGTCGGCAGGCCCTTCCTGTTCAGATTCTGGCATTCCAAGACAAGCACATCCATGTCTCCAGGTATAGAGCAGTTCCCTCCAGAACAAGGGTCTCATGCTGTGCTCCAGAAGAGTCCTTTTGCTGGCCTGCCCGTGGGAGATGGGGATGGGAAAGAAGGAGAGGCCGGGGTGTCCTTGCTGGAATGGCAAGTATTCAGCCCCACCTTGTTTTCCACTCACTGTGCTCTCCCAGAATAGTCCTGCTTAAATCCACCCAGGGTCCGTGCACTATAATGTATGTCCCAATGTCATAGTGGATGCTTTCCTCAGGGACAGAATAACTGGGCTACAGAGGAGGAGCCAGTTCCAGGGTGCCTCTCAACCAGTGTGGTCAAGATGTCTAGAATGGGTATGAAGGGTGTGGCGTTTAGGAGGATAATGACAACTCCTGAAAGAGGAACTTGGCCTCATGTCTAACTTGTACACCTGGTGGTTTAACTGTTCTGTGGACTCCCGAGGTGAAAACGGGAAATGGCTTTTCACGTGTCTCTGTAAGCGGGGAAGCCACTTCAGCCGACTGACTGACCACCAGGTACTAACGGTCGGCACTGCCAGTACCTCACAGGGATCTGGAAGCAGAAGTTCTGCAGAAACGTTGGCGGGTATTTCTGTCTCAGTGGGGGGGGGGACGTATTTGGGGGGTTTCAGGCAGGTTAAATATAAACTGTTCATTTTACCCCTCTAATTCTAATGATAAACTCGAGGTGAAACTTGAGGAGAGCTACCAACCTTTGAAAGTTTCTGTGGCTGAGAAATAGTAGTTTAGTTGGAATGTTCTAGAACCGTGGACTATAGAGATAGGTGAGTCAGTTCAGGACAGTGCTGTGTGTGTTTGTGTGTGTGTGTGTATAAATTCCAAATGAGCCCTGCAAAGCCATGAGTACTTTTCACACGCCTTACATTTCTGAATAAGCCATCCTATTAAAGCAGTCTGTGCGAAGCACTGGCTGTGCTTTTCAGTTCTGATGAAAGGGCGTGGCCACAGTCCAGGAGGCTGTTACCTACCTGAGGCCATCTCTTGTTCTCTATGAGACGGTGCCTCTGCCGTGCTATTTCACTTTGGAAATAGCTCACTGAATGCTTCATTGGCGGCCTTGGGGACAGTTTGTAGGCTTACAACCGTGTTTCAAACAGACCTTATGAAAAGTATCGGCTCCTTGTGAGTGTGAATGAGAACTCACATTTAACGTTTAAAGTCCCTTTGAAGCCAGATTGTAAGAAGGAGGCTGTGGTGAAAAGAATGTCTGAAGCCCTGGCCTTCGAGGCCAGCCTGGGCAAAGGAGGAGGACCACTATCTCAACAAACAAAATATTTTGAGGTGAATTTTTAAATGGGGGCAGAGGTGCTGTCAAAGCCAGTGGTCTACATTGATGTATCTGTGCTTGCAGCCACAGCTAGACGGTGCGTGCTTTCTAAGGTCTGCGCCCACCCCACCCACTTCCTCATCATCATCCCCCATGGTGGCAGAGACTTGAGAGCCTGAAGTTAGTGAGTGAGTCCCCTGTAAGGGACGTTGGAAAGGAAGTAGTAATGCTTTGCTTGGAGAGAAACGTCTACACTTAGCATTTTAGGACACTGCCTACAAGCAACGCAAGCCTCCTCACCAGACCTGACAGTTCAGGCCAGTAATGTCGGAATGCTACTGCATTTCCTCAGCTGAGCTTGGCTTCCTTAATCGCTGAGTCACGCACGAGTTTCTGGTGTCCACAGATGAGATGGAGCATCACCTCTCGGATTTCCCTACACACTTTTCATTAACCTAGACCCTGTTACGTAGGGGCGTTGCCGGTAGCTTTAGTGGCACCCACCTTTGCTCTGGGATCGGCCACACTGCCGGCCCCCTCCCAGCTTCCCTTGAGTCCTTGGATAAAACACTAAAACACTAAAACACACACACACACACACACACACACACACACACACACACACACTTGTTTGTTTTCAACTTGCCTTCTTGGCACAGTTGCTGGGTGCTACTATCTCCGTCTGGAAAAGCATGCCTTTATCAATACTCTTAGCTCTGCCCCTCCCACCTGCCCTAAACTTCATTGGCTGGTTCCACCTAGCCCCTGACAAACATCCCTGTCCATCCCCCTGTAGTAATGGCCACAGGCTCCTTCTAAGACCTCACATGGCCACTGGGTTCTTCTCCCTCCAAAGCATGGCAGAAACTCCCCCATCCTTCCTTGTGCCTACCTTTTTCTCCTGGGACCTGGAAGTCCTGCCTGTCCCTTGTGCCCAGCAGTTGGCCCATGGATTTCTTTACTGACAGATCAAGAACTGATTGGGAAACAGGACCTCAGCATCAGAACTACCCTTACATGGGTGTGTGTGGGGGGGTCTCTTCCTGGGTTTCTTTAGGCACAAGTAAGTAATAGTTGATGTATTATTTATTTATTTTCTTTTGTGGTGACTTTCTCATCAGTTCTTTTCTGCCTTTTTTCCCCCACTGAGCAGTGAGCCTTGCCCGTGGCCAGGGTCTGGGCTTGGGGTGATTTCTGATTGGCTTAACTCATTGTTCGCAGTCTTGCAGGATAGGCACACCGCTATCAGCAACACCCTCTACATTCTTGTTGCTTCAGCTCGATGGGCCGGGAACGAATTTCAGTGTTTAATGTAGGTTGTCTTTCCTAGGGTTGGCTTGAATGTGTCTTGAGACCTGTTCTCTATGTCTTACTACTGTTCTATGTAGACTAGCTTTGAACTCTTCATCCTCCTGCCTCTACTTCTCAAGTGCTGGGATTGCATTGCGGGCCACCATGCCTGACTCCACTGTCCTCTCCTTAGCATGGTGGGGTCTTTACTGTAAAACCACACTGGAGCTTCCTCTTTGGAGGAAAGCCAGCCTGGTCTACTAGGAATGCAGAACCATAGGATTCTGTCGGTGTCCTGAGTTGCACTCTGGAATGTAATGAGGCTCTAAGGTAGCAGGGAGGCCCAGCCTCAAAGGACTGAGCTTCAAACAAACAGCCTCGGAGGAGCGGAGGAGCGTAGTATGTGTTGATTGTTATACAAAGTTGTTTTTTGGGTAAAAATGAATTCCTCATACCAAAGACCCCAATCTAATCTATGTGTTTCCTGAAAGAAAACTTCTCAGCCTTGCAACATTAGACCTTACCGTGCACAGTTTGCAGCACTAAATAATGCAAAACATTCCAGGTATGCCAGGACTGTCTTGTGACCAAAGTCATGCAAAGTCTGTAAAGCTCCTTCAGAAAAACAAGATAATAGAAAACAATCACTGTTTTCTACAGTGACTTCTTCAAGGGCAAAATACTTCTAGGAAGCAACTCTTCATTCAGATGTCTACCCCACGTACAGTGAAAAACAACGATTTCATTCTAATGCTTCCCCTAGCTATAATGATTCTCAACAATAGGATTTTCTTAAGAAAAAGCCATCATTTATTCAGAGACGCAAACTCACACAAATTAGGCTCCAGAAGCCGAGAGTCTGACATACTGTTTGCCTGAAATATCTGCCGCCATCCCATCCTTTCCCGCCTGGCTCTCATTTGGAGCTTCCAGACAAAGCTCTT